CTGTGCAGAAATTATTAGAGCAGTGTCTAACATATTTTCTTTCATGTAAAACCTCAAAGTATGGTGTACCGGGTCCATTTGAGTACCGGGAAAATGCTTTGCATGCATTTTTCATGATGAAAAAAGGCTCTGGACAGCATCTGGAAATGGAAGGTTAAAAAAAGTTTCCAAACGCTTATTAACGCGGTTAGCTGTGTTTACAAGCATTTGGCGTTTTGAAACGTGGAAAAAATCTATTCCTGAACGCAAGTTTGGTGCGTTCAAAAAAAGGACTGTAAACTCAACTGCCTGTAAATGACGATGTGTACATGGACACATAGGAAAACATTAGGGAGAGTTCAGGGGCTGCTGAAAAAAATGCAGAAAAGCTCCTGAATGTGAGTTTATCAGCTGCGGTGTACATGGAGCCTTACATGTTCCAAAAGGTGAACTTACCCTTTAAAACACAGACTGGGAGCTGTTTTATAAGACAATTGGCTTTGTAATCCTGTCCTTCTAGTATGGAAATTTACACAGCTCTGCCAATGCCATTTACAATTGAAGTATAACTAAAGGCAAAACGTTTATTTTTAGTTTTGGATGGAGTGACAGGGGATCAGAATGCTTGTCCGTTTTTTATTGCTTTTTTTGTCCCTGTTATGTATCTACACCCTTCTCTATTTGTCCTGTTTTCTGTTATCATTGAAAGAAAAAGAAAATCCCACATTTTTAGTTGTCCCCAGAAAAGTAATAGAGGGGAAATCTTCCAATGGGGACACTAGTTCTGATGACCTGGGGGGTCCCCAAAGAATTCCCTTAATTTGCTGGATTTCCTCTCACTTCCTGATTGGTTATGGGACAGGATGTGAAAGGAAACCTCCGCAATGGGGGACAGATGGCCAAAAAAAAAAAATCTGCCAGAGGTTATAACCCTCCATTGTTCTATCCAAAGAGAAAAAAAGTTTTGCCTATAGTTCCACTTTAAGGGATATAATGGTGTCCTCTCTCCACTCCCAGCTTGAACAGTGAAGGAATAGCAGCAGACTAATGAGGTCATCTTTTTTGTTCTGCCTATCTATCAGCATAGTTGCTGTCAACACACTTGCATGAAAACACACTTGATTGGCTCCCAGCCCAGGGGCGGACTGACCATTTGGGCTCTCGGGCACTGCCCGAGGGCCGGGGGGCAGTAGGGGCCCCATGAGATGCCCCTGGTACCTTTCATAGGCTTTTTTGGGTGTGGTTTGAGTGTGGGCAAGGACACAAGGGCCCCATGAGCCCATATTGCGCGGGGGCCCCAGGAGTTGTAAGTCCGCCCCTGTCCCAACCCTGCCTTTTCTTCTGCCAGTCTTAGCAATGCTGTAGAGGGGATTGCAGTAGGGCCCAGGTGCATTCAAAATTTGCATATAAAAAAAAATACATTCAACGGCTATGTCCTCCTTTTCCAGAAAATAGCCTATGCAATCAAGGGGACCCAGTAGATATTAAAATACGGTGCAGCTTTGTAAAATATTCATCATTTTGGTGTTATACCTGTAAGCTATTTGGACCTTCCTTGAAGCCTGACTGAAAAACTCCCAGTTAGCAACCCCCCACATCCTGCTTTGTTCCTAGAAAGTGAAAAATGTTGGTCATCACTCCTGAAAGGTTGGGAGTGAGTGTCCCAACAGTATTCGCTTCTTGGCAGCAAAGCAGAAAGTGGGGATTGTTAAATTGGATTTTTTTTGGCCAGGCTTCCAGGGGGGCCAAATGACCTACAGGTATTTTCTGGAAACAACGAACTTATGCAGGCCTTACATAGATTAAATTCCATAGAAAAACTAGAACATTTGTTCATTTTGTAATCCAATGGTGCCACCATTGATTTAGAAATTTGACCGAACAAGCCTTCAATTTCACCTCATGTTGCTACAGAAAAGGATTGTCGTGGCCAGGAATCTTCTTTTCTTTCCAGATCACAGCACATGCTCAGTTCTTTTTTGAATATTTTTCTGGCACGATTCTCCCATCATTGATTAGAAATTGATTTTGTTTTTCAAAAAAATTTACAGCATTCCTGATCACTCAAATTCAATGATCGCTGCGGCCCACCAATGGATCGAAATTTGAACGAAAATTCGAAAAAAGAAAGTTTGTTTGGAATTCGACCCATGTATGGCCGGCTTTAGCCTTTGAAACCAAAAACTTTTTTTTTGATAGAGCAGTAAAGTATTAGGCCCACCGGTCTGTTTTTTTTTTAATGCTGTCCAGGTCTCAGAGTGATTCTTCTTTCCATGTTGGTGACAATTCAATGACCGCTGCGGCCCACTAATAGTGTGAGATTTGAACGAAAATTCTTAGTTATGATTTTCAAAAGAACGTTCGTTTGGAATTCGACCCATGTATGGCCGGCTTTAGCCTTTAAAACTAAAAACTTTTTTTTGACAGAGCAGGGAAGAAGTAACTAGTTTGTTTTAGGAGTAATCTATAATGAAGCAAAAAATAAAATGTGAGTAGCCTTAGTTGGCAGATGGATTGCTTTCACTGGTATTGACTTGTGTCCTGCAACTGTTATGTGGTCTGGGAGACGGAATGGAAGGTGATCCCTTGAGAACTGCGTTTTGGTAACATTTTTAGCTTGCACAACTTTCATGCAGCAATATTCTGCAAACAAAGGAAGTTCGTAACTAAATGCAGGCTCAGCAAGGGAAGTACAGATAAGCAATCCTTCCTTTTGTAAATAGGAGCAATGGCTTACTACAAATGACGGGTATGGGTCATCAGGAGACACTGGGGTTGATTTACTAAAGGTAAATGGCTGCAAGTGCACCTGCTTTATATCCGAGGGGAAGCTCTGAAATGAGTCTAAGCTCTGCTTATTTTTTTTTTCATCCAATCATGTGCAAGAAAAAATGCTTTTTTTTAATTTTCCTTGCATGTTCCCCCCATATCTAGGGCAAGTGCACTTGCAGTGCACAGCCAATTTGCCTTTAGTAAATAGACGTCGTTATATAGACCAGAGGTCTCCAAACTTTATAAACGAAGGGCCAGTTTACTGTCCTACAGACTTTAGGGGGGCCAGACTGTGGCCAGTGGGAGAAGAAAATTGTCCCAGCTTCAGTAAACAATGCCTCATCATTGGTATTAACAGGAGATATAGTGCCCCATCACTGGTATCAATGGGAGGAACAGTTTCCCGTTGTTTGTGTCAGAGAGGAATAGTGCCCCATTATTGGTGTCATTGGGAGGAATAGTGCCCCATCATTGGAGTCAGTGAGAGGAATAGTGCCCCATTATTGGTGTCAGTGGGCGGAATAGTGCCCCATCATTGGTGTCAGTGGGCGGAATAGTGCCCCATCATTGGTGTCAGTGGGCGGAATAGTGCCCCATCATTGGTTTCAATGGGAGGAATAATACCCCATCATCGGTGTCAGTGGGAGGAATAGTCCCCCATCTTGGGTGTCAGTGGGAGGAATAGTGCCCCATCTTGGGTGTCAGTGGGAGGAATAGTGCCCCATCTTGGGTGTCAGTGGGAAGAATAGTGCCCCATCATCGGTGTCAGTGGGAGGAATAGTGCCCCATCATCGGTGTCAGTGGGAAAAATAGTGCCCCATCATCGGTGTCAGTAGAAGGAATTAGTACCCTATCATTGGTGTCAGTGGGAGCAATAATGTCCCATTGGTGTCAGTGGCGGGAACTATGCTCCACTGTTGCTGATTGTGGGGGGAATAATGCCCCAAGGGCTGGATAAAAGCAAGCAAAGGGCCACGGTTTAGAGACCACTGATATAGACCATGCATGTCCTTAGATTATGGCTGTGCTCTGATTAGTGTAACCAAGATTTTTCTTTTGTAGTTGCCTACTGGCGGCCTGATCTATCAATGCTAAGGGCCCATTCACACTGACATGCAGAAAAACGCTATATGCCTCTGTCTGCAGTGAATTTTTATGTGCAATTACCTGCACTTCATTCATGTGCATTTTGGCGCTTAATGTAATTTTAAAGGCATATTATGTGTTTACATGCATTTAGATGCGTTAGAATGCTAACGTGATGCATTTTAACTCACATCCCGTAAACGCATATAAACTCAGCGTTGTGGTGTTAGAATGCCACGTAGAAAACTATTGTTTTCTATGTATCATTACAGTTACCTGTGTTCATCCAGTGCAGAAACTTGCAGGTACCTGCACATAGTGTGAAGGGGTCCTAATGGCCAGACTGGACAGGTATGAGCGATCTAGACAGCTGCTGACCACTCGGATCAATTTTAAGGCCATGGAAGTGTACGTTCAACAACCGCTCACACGCATCAATCAGATTCTGAAATAGTATGGTCATTCCTGGCTGTCCTGTATAGAACAGGGGTAGGCAACCTGAGAGCCGCAGGACTACAAGTTCCATCATGCCTCTTCAAGTCATAGCTGTAACTGTCAGTTTTGTAATCTTTGCAATGCCTCATGGGAAATGTAGTTCCGCAACAACTGGAGTGCCACAGGTTGCCTACCCCTGGTATAGGGGAAGGTGTCTTTCATCCTTGAAAGCTGGCAACCATTGATACACTATTAGCAGAGACGATCTGTTTTAGATCATTCTGCTTGTGCATGAGCTCCTCGCCCAGGTTCACAGTTGTGCGGGTGGTTGCCACTGTGTGACTGCACCTTTTCCCACACCTGCAACGAAAATACGCTGCTGCTCAGGAGATGCATGAGGGTACCATTAATTTTAATGGGGCACACACACACTGGAAACCACACTGCATAATGCAGTTTCCCTGCAGCCGCATTTTCTGCAACCGTGCAGGGACCTTTTCCCTGCGTTTTCAGTGGGTACAGCAGCCCATTCACATGAATGTGCTGCTGTGCTGGAGCAAACGTAGCAACAGAGAAACCGCATTGATATTAACCAAACCTTCATCAACTTTGCATTGTAAGATGCCCCTTTGTTCCCCAAAGTCTTTTACACTTGTTTCCTGTTCTGTAGGAGACTACAGCACAGCGGATTCCTGGAAGAAGAACCGGTGCAACAGCAGCAGACAGAGATGGCGTATGATGACACAGATCTCACTGACAAGGTAACCTTGCTGCTCAAAGTTTACTAGCTAAAAATTGGCTCTTTTGTGTTCTTGGAAGTTCGGCCCCCTCCTCCTTCCCGCAGTCTCCTTTCACAGATCCCAGAAGACTGCCAGACCAATTAGGAGGCGCAGCGTGACTCGCGCATGCTCAGTGGGCACCAGGCTGTGAAGCCGAAAGCTGTCACAGCCTAGTGCCCACAGTTGAGATGCCATGGAGGGGAGAAGGGACGTTGCGGGTGAGAACATCGCTGGACCCCGGGACAGGTAAATGTGTGTGTATTAAAAGTCAGCAGCTACAGTTTTTGAAGCTGCTGACTTTTAATAAACACAAAGACTGCTGGAACTCCACTTTAAGGTCTCTAAACAAATCAAAATGGCACACCCCTGTAAGAGTATAGTGTAGTATATTCACCTCTTTGATGGCTCGTGTCTCCTGCCTCCTCTGATATTTAGCGTTGCATACTCCAGCCTTTTTCAACCAGGGTGCCTTCAGACTTCTTCAGGGGTGCCTTCAGACTTCTTCAGGGGTGCCTTGGCAAAATGCATAAAAATTGGCCAAAAATTGTATACAAGCAGCAGGTGGATTAATCCTGCCTTTCAGTTACACAAAGCCACAGGTTTTCATTCGCTTTTATGACCTTCTAGCTGCCAGGATCCTAACAACCAATGACATGATCAGTTGATAAGGAGGACGTCCGGTGCATGCACATCATCCTTGTATGCCCCTCTCCGTCAGCACTGGGGTCACATTAACAAAGTTAGGGAGAGAGACACACTGGAATACTAGTCCAGTACCAGTGTGCAAAGGTATTTGCTTCGGAACAATAAATCACCTCTAACGCTGGGTGTATTGTGTGTGTGGATGTGTATAGAATCACTTTTTAGAATGAGGTGCCTTGCTTTTGTGCAGAATTTTAAAGGGTGCCTTGAGATTATCCATAATTTTAAAGGGTGCCTTGAGATTATCTATAATTTTTAAAGGGTGCCTTGAGATTATCTATAATTTTAAAGGGTGCCTTGAGATTATCTATCCTATAATTTTTAAAGGGTGCCTTGAGGGTGCCTTGAGATTCTCCATAATTTTAAAGGGTGCCTTGACTGAAAAAAGGTTGAGAAACACTGGCATACTCTGTGAGACCCTTCATCATTCATTGCTTCTGGGAGTAATATAATGTTTTCCCCCTCAGGCACCGTTTCCTTCCTCTGACCTTTAAGCCACTGTAGGATTCGCCAGTGATTTTGGGGGCCAGCAGAAGAAACCAAAGTTTGCAGTTGGGGACACACATCAGAGGTCGGCATAATATCTCCTCTATTGCCTGTGGAGTTCCATTGTTTAGAAGCTAGACCGGGTCTTTTCATTGTATTCTGATTTAAAACAGATAATGTGATGGTGACATTGGTAACCCTTCCCAATATTATTTAAATATCAGAAAAACCGTTTGGGCCTAAAGTGGTTGTAAAGCTCTGACATGAAATATGAACAAAGCATATCCCTCTATAGTGTGTACTTGTCTCAGTCCAGAACACTAAGGGGTTTATTTACTAAGGCTGGAGAGAGCAAAATCAGGCTCACTTCTGCATAGAAACCAATCAGCTTCTAACGTCAACTTGTTCAATTAAGCTTTGGCAATAACTCCTGGAAACTGATTGGTTTCTATGCAGACGTGAGTCTGATCCTGCCCACTCCAGCTTTAGTAAATAAACCCCTAAGTGTCATTTCTTTCTGCTGCTTCATTTCTCTGCTATCAGCATAAATTGCTTCTGAGAAGTTTTCCTGACACCAAGAGAAAAATGGTGACGGGAAAGGGACCTCCAGCACACAGTCTTACATTAAAGTGGAACTAAATTTCTGCTGTAACAAACAGCGACCTAGCAGGCTGTTTAATGCAGAAGAGACATACAGTGTCTCTTCTGTAATAAAATAAACCAGCCTGCCTGCTTGCTGTCATCTCTGCTGATGAAAACTGAATTGTGCATGCGCAGCTCAACTTACAGTGTCAGCTCAATTCCTGTGTGCCGGGATGACTGACTACTGCGCATGGGCAGGAGTGACATCATCCCACACTGGCCAATGAAGACATCCGAACGCCGCCACACAGGAGAAGATGCCGGCGAGGGACAGGGACCACTGGAGGAAAGATGAGTATAGATTCTTTTTAGTTCTGCTTTAGGTGATCTTTTTTTTACATGAGCACCATTGCAGTGCTTGCTGCATAGTTCTATAGCTCATGGATTGCATTCACCTGTTGCCCAGTTTTGTTCTTTAAACTTTCTTTCCTGCCTTACTCAGGTTGCCTCTTTTCTCCTGCAGGTGCTGTACCTAGAGCAGCGGGTGAGCGAGCTGGAGAGAGATGCAACCACTACAAGTGAACAACAGAACCGACTCCGACAAGAGAATCTGCAGTTACTTCACAGGTAGGTGGGGTGATTTGGAACAACGTAAGTGCAGCGTGCATGATTTAACCCTTTCACTGCCAGGTCCATGCGTCGTTCAGACCTGACAGCAGGAGGGTTTACAATTGCCAAATTGTTTCCACAGCCCCCGGTAACTGTGACCACCCCCCCCACGTGCTTGCACTCCTGCCATGTATTGTGCGCTTCGCTTGCCCATCTGCGGACTCGGGAACCGACATCAATCTCCTCCCCTTCTTGCTGTAACCCGGAAAGTGATGTGTATGATGTCACTTCCAGGTCACCGCTGTCACTTTCCCCCTGCTACCATAGCCAGGGAAAAATGTATTGCAATGTGATCTGCACTGCAATACATCCAGAGGAGACATGCGGGATCTAAAATAAGCTGTCACCTAAAAATGATCACATAGGGGACTTTTTGTTCCCTATATAATGAAAAAAAGTAAAGTAAAAAAAAAAAATCTTTTTTATTGCAAAAAAAGTTACACCCAAGCACATAACATTTCCCCCACCCCCCACATATACACACGTACGAACATATACGCATGTCAGGGGCGCCTACGGGTGAAAATGGCGATTGCAATACACATGTTACATAAAGCCGCGCACGCCGGAGTGAGAGCAATAATTCTTCCACAAGGCCTCCTCTGTAACACTAAACTGATGACCTATAAGGAGCTTTTGAAGTGTTGCTTCTAGAAAATATAGGGTACTGACGTTTGTCACCATTTCATAGGCACATGCAAATGTAAGGTTTGACATGTTGGGTATCCATTTTCTCAGTGCAACCTCGTATTTTTTATATTTTACCCAGGGGCGGACTGACCATTTGGAAACTCGGGCACTGCCCGAGGGTCCGGGGTCAGTAGGGGGCCCCATGAGATGCCCCTGGTACCTTTTTCATAGGCTTTTTTGAGTTTGGGCAAGGACACAGGGGCCCCATGATCCCCTATTGCCCGGGGGCCCCATGAGTTGTCAGTCCGCCTCTGATTTTATCCAAAAACGTGGGTAATTTAGTGCATTTGTTTGCCCTAAAACCTTTTGCGGCCACAAAAAATGACTACTATTTTATTCTCTAGGGTGTCTGCTTTCAGAAAATATATAATGTTTGGGGGTTTTGTGTAATCTTCAGGCCTAAAATGATTTTTTAAACATGCACAGAAAAAGCAAAAACGTCTCTGGCAGTGAAAGGGTTAACGCTAAACTACAATGAAAAATTAAAACTACCCTTGCAGTGGGTCAACCCAACCCCCCCCCCCCCCCCCCCCCATACTGCTAGGGTTAAGTGCTCATTTTTGTCTATGGTAGAAATGCAGTTTTTACCTATGTTATCCCTGATTTCCCCGGCAGTGCTTTTTCCTCTGAAGCTCCATCTTGTGTGTCAACACTTAAGAGTTCAGGACTGCTAGCCCTGCATTGTACGTTATAATGTCAGAGTGCAACCAAAGAATGGAGTAATGAAGAGAAGTGGCTTTGGGGAACATGCTGCACGAAGAAGGGAAAGGGGAAAAGTAAAACTGTATTTAAAGCTACCCTAGAAAAAAAACATGCATTTAACACCCTGGTGTGTGTGTTTTTTTTTTTTTTTTTTTTTTTTTTTTTAATTTTTGACTTATGTTCTGGTCATGGTCCTGGGCCATGTCACATTAGTGGTCCTGTCCCTGGTAACAACTCACCAGCAACAGGAACGCTAAAACGATGACTCACCTGCTCCTATGACGTTGCTTCTTCACTGGCCAAAATGCTACAGAATCAGTGGTGAGGGAGCAACAACTGAGGGACACTTCCCTGGTTTGACTAGTAGGGGGGCAGGTTTGTTCTCTCTGCAGCTCAGCTCACCCTGCTCCCCCATCCAGCAGTGCCCTTCCAGCCTTCTAATAATTAATGTAAACACAGAGCAGGAGCTTTGAAGGGGAGGAGCAGAGTGAACGGAGCAGCTGAGAGAACCACTTGAGTGACTTCAGTGTTACTGCTGTGAATTGCACCACAGTGCCTGCATCTACAGAGGTCAATAAGGGCTTGTTTAAAGCCCATTTACTCCTTGTTAAGAATTTTAAATACTTTAACCGCTTCTGTGCCGTCCTATAGCAGAAGTACTGCTACAGGGCGGCACAAGTGTGCAAAATCACGTATATATACGTGATTTTGCAGTTCCGGGTAGGGTGCCGTGCACGTGTCCTACCCGTGCCGCCATTCCTGGCCTCAACTGTCAGTCACTGGGACCGGCAACCCGGCGATCTCTGAGTATTACTGACCGGGGAGAGACCTAACACAGATCTCTCCCCTGTCAGCTCCTGCACACTGCTTTGTATGGCTCTGTATAACGGAGCTATACAAAGAAGTGTGCTTTCAGTGTAAAGCGCACACTGTAAAACAGCACACAGTTAACCCTTTGATCGCCCCACATGTTAACCCCTTCCTGCCCAGTGCCATTAGTACAGTGTCATTGCTTTTTATTAGCACTGATCACTGTATTGGTGTCACTGGGAATGTCAATGACACCAAGTCAGTTTCCCCCCAGTGTCAGAATGCCTGCCGCAGTCCCGCTATAAGTCGCTAATCACCACCATTACTAATAATAAAAAAAAAAAAATCCAGGATATATACCTCCATTTGTAAACGCTATAACTTTCACGTAAACTAATTAATTTACACGTATTGGGATTTGTTTTAGAAATGACATGTTGCAGAATACATTTTGGCCTAAATTCATGACGAAATTTGATTTTTTTAAATGCTTTATTTGACATGTTTAATAGCAAAAAGTAAAAAATGCACACGCGATCAAATACCACCAAAAGAAAGCTCTATTTGTGGGGGAAAAGGGCGTAAATTTCATTTGGGTGTAGCGTTGCATGACCGCGCAATTGTCAGTTAAAGTAGCGCAGCGCCGTATCGCACAAAAATGGCCTGATCGGGGGGGGGGGTGTAAATCCTCCGGAGGACAAGTGGTTAATGTCCATAGTTTGGCCACAGGTTCACTTTATGTGATAGTGTAAGTAGAAGATTTGAGCTTTGATAATGTATCTATCACTCTTTTGCCTTTTTTTAATGACACCTCTGACTCATTTGCTAATCAGGGCACATGCGCTAGAAGAGCAGCTGAAAGATCAAGAGCTGCAGTCAGATGAGGTTCAAAGTGAAGAGACTCGCAAACACAGAGACGAGCTGCGCAAGATGGAGCGAGACCGCAGCTATCGGCTAACCAGTCTTAAAGCTAGGTATGTGTTGTGATTAGATTGAAAGGAGCCAATCAGGCGGCTCTGATCACTTGTAGGAAATGTACGTGTGAAAAATACGCCCTCTGATGGGGTGTTTGAGATTGCAGTGTAGTAATTACTTTTCCTTTGCAGACTTCAAGAGCTAGAAAATGAGAATTTAGATCTCCGCTCTCAGCTACCGGGTTTCAAGGCGACGGCACAGAGGTTAGAAGAGGTGAGCAGTAATACCTTAAATTTCTGTGTCATGTACAATAGGTATAGAATAGAGCAGAACGAAATGAAAACGAGAAGCGCACAAACCTTGCGCATTACCTCAATAACCAAAATTTATTAATTATAAAAATATACTCACAAACAGCGAATAAAATCAGGCATGTAAGTCCTCAAAGGGACTTGAAGACAGCGTGAATCCCATCAAGGGGATGGATATTCAGTACATATCCATCCATTTGATGGGATTCGCGCTGTCTTCAAGTCCCTTTGAGGACTTACATGCCTGATTTTATTCGCTGTTTGTGAGTATATTTTTATAATTAATAAATTTTGGTTATTGAGGTAATGCGCAAGGTTGGTGCGCTTCTCATTTTCATTTCGTTCTGCAGTATTGGTCGGGCTTCCCCAGCCTTGTTTGGAGCCGCACAACCCTACATGCATTGGTGGTCGATTTTTCCAGGTCTGGTTCCATCCATTCGCCACCTGTCTGGGTCCTAGAGCGCAGGAGAATTCGTTTTTGATTTACTGTTTTAGGTATAGAATAGAATCACCCCTTTTTAGAATACTCACAGGCTTTGCAGCCTGAAATGACGACAAACACAGTGTTTGTTTTATCCAGCTGTATTTACCCCGTGAAAATTTTATAGCATCCAAGTGAAAGATACAACAACAAGTCAGAAAAAAAAAAATTCAAAAACAGAATCGCCGACTTCGAAAAGGGTTCACCCCCTCCTAAAAACTGACGAAAAGGGTTCACCCCCTGACTTTCAACTGTAATCAGCTGTGGTCATTTTGATCAGCTCAGCTTAGCATGAAAAGAGCTTTCCTGGAGCATTTCAGTCCCTGGTATTGCAACTGAAGCAAACCATCAACTATGGGTGGCAAGGCACTGTCAAAAGATCTCCAGGATAAAGTTGTGGATAGGCACAAGTCAGGAGATGGATATAAAATAAATTTCAAAGGCTTTATCAATGCCTAGAAGCACAGTGAAGTCTATAGATAACAAGTGGAAGGTATTGGTACAACACAGACCCTCCCTGGATCAGGATGTCACTCCAAACTGGATGAAAGATCCAGGAGGTAACTGGTCAAAGAGGCTACCAAGAGGCCTATAGCAACTCTGAAGCAGTGTCAGGAATTTATGACAAAGAGTGGTTATTGTGTGCATGTGACAACAATATCACAAATTCTCTACAAATGTGGCTTGTATGGGAGGGTTGCAAGAAAAAAGCCGCTCCTCAAGAAAGGCCACAAGCAGTCATGACTGAGCTTTGCCAAAATGCACCGTGAAGATTCTGAGGCCATATGGATAAAGGTGTTCTGGTTAGACGAGACAAAAATTGAATTATTTGGCCTCAACACTATAATGTGTGGCAAAAATCCATTACAGCTCACCATCCAAATAGCACCATTCTTACAGTAAAGCATGGAGGGGGGAATATCCTGTTATGGGGGGTTTCTCTGCAGCAGGAGCTGGAGCACTTTTCAGGATAGAAGGAAAAATGGATGGGGCAAAATACTATCAAAATTCTTGAGGAAAATCTGTTGCCTTCTACCAGAAAGTTGTAACTAAGAAGAAGAATTTACCTTCCGACATGATAATGGACCAAAGCACACAGCAAAAATGAGCCCACAGTGGTTGGAGGAGAAAAAAGGTGAAAGTCCTTGCATGACCTAGTCAGAGCCCAGAACTAAACCCCATTGAAAATCTGTGGAATGGCTTGTAGAGTGCAGTCCACATACGGTCACCATCAAATATAACTGAGCTTGAGTAGTTCTGCAAAGAAGAGCGGGCAAATATAGAAAAGTCTAGATGTGCAAAGTTAGTAGAGACATCCCAACAGACTAAAGGCTATAACTGAAGCAAAAGCTGGATCAACAAAATACTGACACAAGGGGGTGATCCTTTTTCCAACTCCGTAATTCTGTTTATTTTTTTTTACATGTCTTTCACTTGGACGTTATAAGCTGCATAAAATAAAAACTGTCTTCATTTCAGGCTGCAAAACCACAAAATGCGATTATTTTAAAGGGGGATGATTCATTTCTATACCCACTGTATCTAAAGACAGATGCCAAGCAAAACTGGTATTTTCAGTTCTCAGAAGGTACTCGTGTCAAAATGGGTCACAGCAACCCATTCACAACTTTTACACATGTGCATTCAAGACCTCAGAACCATACCTCTTCCCACAATGATGGTGTCATTCCCTCATGACAAGATGCCTCAGTTGTTTTGTAATGAATGTTTTAGCGGTTGTAACTTAGAATTTTTCAAAAGATATTCAACTGTTGGATTCCTCTTGCAATATAAAAAAAAAAAAAAACTTCTACGCATGCTAATGTACCAAGCATATTATGGTGAGTTGCAGCACTATACGTTTTGAATGGCACCCCAACACATCTACTGTGCACCACAACTCATAGCATGTCATATAGGACCATGTAGTGAAAAAGTAAAATACAGCATGAGCAATTTCTCCTGCATTGGGGTCCCAACAAAATAGATGTCGTACCAAATAATATAGAGAACACACCTCTCTGATTAAGCCCTTGTTGGGAAAAGCTAGTCAGAAAGTGTGGGTCCCAGGTGGGGTGATCTGACTTTTCCATGTAGAATAAAGATGATTTCAACTGAACCTGGCATGTGAGGTTTACTCCATATTGTTTGGTGGACTGTGAGTGGGGACGGACCCGGAAGCTGTGCCTGCACTCCAAGCATGAGCTTTTGGAGCAGCATTGTTTCTTAGATTATTATGAGTGCAGCAAGCTGCAATACACAATAAAGTGAGAGCTGGTAATTGGTATTACTCAGTGTGCCCTGATGATCAGTGTAGCCCCATCAGTGCCACCTGCCAGTACTCATCAGTGCCACATATCAGTGCCTATCTGAGCTGCCTTTCAGTGCCACCTACCAGTGCCACCTATCAGTGCCAGTTAGTTCTGCCTATCAGTTCTGCCAATCAGTGCCATATATGAGTGCTGCCTTTCAGTGCCCATCAGTAATACCCATCAGTGCCACCTATCAGTGCCAGTCAGTTCTGCCTATCAGTTCTGCCAATCAGTGCCATATATGAGTGCTGCCTTTCAGTGCCCATCAGTAATGCCCATCAGTGCCACCTACCAGTGCCTCCTCATCAGTGCCCATCACTGCAGCCTCATTAGCGCTCATCAGTGAAGGAGAAAAATCACTTATTTACAAAATGTTATAGCAGAAACTAAAGAGAAAACTTTTTTTTGCAAAATTTTCAGTTGTTTTTGGTTTGTTTAGCAAAAAAATAAAAAACCCAGAGGGGATTAAATACCACCAAAAGAAAGCTCTATCTGTCTTAAAAAAAATTATAAAAACTTCATATGGGTACAGTGTTGGATGATCGCGCAATTGTCATTCAAAGTGTGGCAGTGCTGAAAGCTGAAAATTGGCCTGGGAAGGAAGGGGGTGTAAGTGCCTGGTAGGCATGTGGTTAAATACACTAATAAATTGAAGCTAAATCCCAGCTAATACTTTATAAGCAGTTACAGCAACAGTGCTTTTTTCCTTTTGGGATAAAGATTTTGCATACATAAAAGCTGATCATTGCAAGCACTCCTGCCAGTGTTGAATGGTTTGTCCCCATAACTGATGCATCTTCAAGAGAGCATGTTCTTTTGAAAAATAACAAGCATACTGGCCAGATCACTAGGTGAAAATAGAAGAAAGAAAGCCTAAAAAAAAAACTAATGCAGACATCACATCAAGGAATTGGTAAGCTGCAATATAATGTTTGCTTTTGGGTTTAATACCTCTTTGAGGACTTTCTTCATCCAACATTTACAGAAGTGTTGGAGCAGATGCCTGGTTCCCCACTAGGCACATTGGTTACATCTGCTGGCCCCTACATCAATACTTTTACCTGTAGTGTTGTCTGGGTTGGCGATTAGAACCACAATGCACATAGGGGACTAGGCACTTGTTACGCCTGGAAGTGTCAGATACAGAGGATTCTTCAGGAAGCAGTGTTTCTTCAATACAGTAAAGATCAGCGGTGGGACTGGTGTATTATGTGCACCTTTTCCATGCACCTTACATTTTATTTAAGTAGCGACATAAAGAGTTATAAAAAAAAGGGCGCACCGACCTAGTGCATTATCGTTTAAAATATTTATTGAAGAAACAAAGTAAGTATCATACTCACAATAGATGTAAAAACACAGGCATGTCAAACTGAACAAGATGTATGATCCAAACAACATCCGAGTCCATACGATGGAACCCTGGAGGACACAACCTCTTCCTCAGGGCTTACTTTGTTTCTTCAATAAATATTTTAAATGATAATGCACTAGGTCGGTGCGCCCTTTTTCTGTTTCTCCATTTATATCCAGTGTATTTGGACCACCCCGGTCTGTTGAGGGCAGCAAGCAGTGCATATTCCAGAACATTCCTATTGGGTCTACTAAGTCCTTTCCTAGTGCAGGAGAAAAGTGTTTTGTGTTGGATAAAGAGTTATAAACCTAGTTATTGGTTTGTATTTTGTCCAAAATATGGAAAGCCGATCCCTAAACCAAGGTGATATTTGGTGGTATGTTTACCTTTGAATTTGTATGATGTAAAAGTCAAGGAATGACTGTGGAAAAGTATTCTTGCTATCCAGATTTGTTTTTGTTTTTTAATACAGTTGCCCGATAGTAATTTAGCACCCTCAGTGCCTCATTCTATACTTTTCCGTTTCTTTTCATTTTCTCCTTTGACATGTTGAATTTTGTCTACAGGAGAAACATAAACTGCTGGATCAGGTGGAGGACCTCCAGGAACAGCTTCAAGACCAGCAGGATCAGAACAGAATGCTGGGGGGAAAGCTCAGTAAAGAGTTGCACAAACAGCAGACAGAGAAAGAACGGTGCCAAGAGGTAAGAATATACTGATCTCGTTGATGTCTTCTATGACCTCAGTCTATTCTCGCATGACTTCATCCCTTGTCACCTCATCTCACTCCCATGTGACTTCATTCTGCTATCATGTGACCATTAACCCACTTCTCTGTGATTGTTTCCCTATTATAACATCATTATTCCAGTGTGACCTCACCCTGCATCTACAAGTTCCCATTCTATTTCCATATGCCTTTCTCTTGTTCTGGCGATCTATCCTTGACCTATGTGACCTTTTTTTTGCCTTTATCATGGCTCCTGTCTTCTCATATGCTGCATGTGACTTTTACAATCTGCAAGCTTTTTTTTCTCTATCTGAACTTTCCCTCTAGTGATCTGTAGACACTTGGAGTTTGTACGCTTTCCTTCCCAGCAGCACATACTTGTCTTTCTTTCACTTTCTTTCACTCTCCCACCATTTTGTTCAGATGCCGGGAGCAAAGAAAATACTTAGTACTTCTGGATATGGAAGTGTACTTACTCCATGTGACAGCCCTGAGCCAATCCCAAAATACCAGAGTTGTCAAATAGGAAAATTCAGTAGCCCTGTGTGAACCACGACTTGAGTGTACACAAGGCAGCTTCTCCTGCTCCCAGCAGCTGAGAGGAATGGTGTGGGAAGGGGTAAGAAAGTTGAGCATGTGCTGATTGAAGAGAGAGATGAACTACCCACCCAGGCCAATTGTGACATCTCTCTCCTACATGTGAAAATCAACATTTTTTCCTTGCTAGAAAATTTCTCAGAACACCCAAACATTATTTACAGGCGTACCTAGGTTTACGAACGCCTCGGTCAACGTAATTTTCAGTTTACGAATGAAAATCCATTGAAAATAATGCCTCGGTTTACGAATATTTTTCGCAATACGAAGAGTTTATAGCGCCGGTCCCGTGCCTTTAAAGTGCAGTTTATAAAGAGTTTTGAACAGATGAGACTTTTTTTTTTTTTTACTTTTTTTGTACCTCTGGAATGGATTAATTGGTTTTCAATGCATTTACAAATTTATTTTTAATCATGTCCCTGTATAGTATTTATGCTTTTAAAGTGCACTTTATAAAGAGTTTTGAACAGATAAGACTTTTTTTTTTTTACTTTTTTCTGACCTCTGAAACGGATTACTTCCTTACTGCTTTTCGGTTTATGCATTTTTCGCAATACGAAACGTCCCACAGAACGCATTAAATTCGTAAACCGAGGTACGCCTGTGTATGTGATTTATTTTTTTAAGCAGAGGCCCTAGAGAATAAAATGGTGGGTGTTGCTATTTTTTTTATGTCACACGATATTTATGCGGCGATTTTTCAAAAGCAATTTTCTTTTTAAAAAATACACTTTAATGAATCTTAATGCAAAAAAACAAAATTTATAATCTAATTTTTTTGGGGAAAAATATAAACTGTCATATTACGCGGAGTGAATAGATACCGTGCATGTCACTCTTTTAATTTGCGCACACTCGTGGAGTGGTGCCAAACTACGGTACTTAAATATCTCCATATGCAACGCTTTAAGAATTTTTTACAGGTTACGGGTTTAGAGTTAAAGAGAAGGCATAGGGCTAGAATTATTGTTTTCACTATAACATTTGCTGCGATGCCTCACATGTCTGGTGCAAACACCATTTACATATGCAGGCGCGGCCTACGTATGCATTCACCACTGCATAGGGGGACAGGGGGCACATTAAAAAAAATAATAATAATAATAAATATATATATATATATATATATATATATATATATAAATGTTTTCTTTTTTTACACTGTCCCTTCTTTAATTTTTTTTTTAATCACTTTTATTTCTATCTCTCCTCTACCCTGGAAAGCATGCGATCAATAAAATCCCAAAACATTGCTCTCTGCTTTCCAGAAAACAAATACCAGTGTCTACATCTGCCGGAACTGTAAGTGATGTCATAACATTGCTTCTGGCCACCCAGGACTATAGAGATGGTTGGGGACCATCTGGTCCACAGTCAGCTCTGTGGTAACATGGTGGCACCGCCAGATCCAATACCTACCGGTCTCCCTGATCGCACGAGAGAGCCCAAAGAGGGAGTCCCCTCCCGCTGCCTGTAAAAAGCAATCCAGCGGCTAATTAGCCTGTAGGATGGCTTTTACATTGTAGGGAATCCCTGACTAAACAAAAAGCTACTGGGATGATGCCTGTAGCTGCAGGCATCATCCTGATATCTCCACTTCAAGTCCAGGACCTCATATGACATCCTACAGGCGGTAAGTGGTTAAAGAGAATCCGGTACATTGCATTGCTATGCAGGGCAAAGCAAACGGGTTCACTTAACTTCCCCCTTCCCAAGCGATACATGCCTACCTTTACATCCAGCCATTGGCAGCAAAAAGAAATCCATGTGAGTTTTTTGTCAATGGAGTTTGTTGTCTGTTCTCCCAAGACCACCTTGGCGAGTCTTTAGTAAGCCATGAGAAGATTTAGAAGAAATCGCATTGAATACAAAGAACCAGCATAGTGCAAACACAGCCAGTATTTGCTGCATTTAGGGAAATGTTAGTTTTGAAAGGGGGCAGAGATAAACACATCACACTACAAGGCTCAGGCTTAGGTTATTTATTGAGTTCAGCAGAGAAAATTGCAAAATGAACTATCGAGCAGTAAAGGGAGAACTATAAAAAAAAATAGGTCAAGCATTTATATATATATATATATATATATATATATATATATATATATATATATATATATATATACCTTTTGTTTATTAGGTCATAGAGGAGCTGCGGCGGGAGCTGGAACAGATGCAGCTCATACGTCTTGAAATGGAACAGAAGATGGGGCTTGGAAACAGCGCAGCCCTACAGGAATACAACAGCCGCACCAGAGAAGCTGAGCTAGAACATGAGGTCCGACGACTTAAACAGGTACTTTATAGATTATGTTTAAATGATAAATCTCAGGATACCTATACATGCAATATGCCGACAGGAGAAGAGCTGGGTTGATGGTTTATCATTGTATTGCTGTTCCACTGTATTCTTTAAAGCCCAGCTTTGGGCTCATTTAACTCATTTAAAGTCCCCCAGCGGTACCTAAGAAAAACTGCTGCACTATAGGCAATGCTCACCTCGTCTACAGTGCTGCAGTTATTATTTTCCACCAATAGATGTCTAAAGCCTTCTAGAACAGTGTTTCTTAACCTTTTTTCAGTCAAGGCACCCTTTTAAAATTATGGACCGTCCTGAGGCACCCTTTAAAATTATAGACAGTCTTCAGGCACCAAATTCTAAAATGTGAAAAACGATTCTAATAGTTTTATATGACTCTGCATCATCCACACATGTAGGACATCCAACATTAGAGGTGCAAATACACCTCTGCACACTGGTACTGACTAGTATTCCAGTGTTTCTCTTCTCCTTCAGTTTTTCTCCATGACTGAGCTAATGTGACCCCAGCACTGATGGAGAGGGGCGGGGGAGGGTCATACTAGGAGGCTGTGCTTGCAGCTGACATCCTCCTTATCAACTGATGATATCTTTGGTTGTCAGGATGCCAGCAGCTAGAAGATCATAATGGTGCACAATGATTACCTGTGACTTTGTGTAACTAAAAGTCAGGCTTATTCCACCCGCTGGCTTGTATACAAGTTTTGGTCAATTTTTAGACATTTTGCCAAGGCACCTCTGAAGAATTCTCAAGGCACAACAGGGTGCCTGGGCACCCTGGTTGAGAAAGGCTGTTCTAGAATAGGGGTGTCATACTCAATGTCATCGCAGCCCTCATCAGCATTGTGGTTGCCTTCAAATGGCCGGCTGTTGTCTACAACACTATAAAAATGTATCTACTCTTTATCATACGAAAGAATTGCCTTGCATTTGACTATTGCTGTTTTTAGTAACATCTTATGACGTAAGCTGTGAAGGGCCGGTACAGACCGGCACGGAGCCCACTCGCACTCCTGTAGGATAATACAAGTCTGAAAAGGAGGGTCGCACACCGCTGGTATCATCCACAAGAAACTTTGAGGACTGCTCAGACAGAACATAGTTTTGCCTTGGTGTTCTGTCTGAATGGTCTTCAATAAAGTTTCTTGTGGATGGTACCAGCAGTGTTCAACACTACTTTTCAACTGGCATAGAACTGAATTATTCTCATAATAATAAGCAGTTGTCCAAAGCACCCCCCTCCCTTACATCTGATATTAAGAGCCCCCCCATTAGAAGTAAAGAGCTTCCCAGCCTCCCTAATATCACAGTTTACCTTGTGCTACTGCCAGGAAGAAGCTGGGAGGCAGGAAGTGCAGGCTCTGGGGTAGGACCAGAGGAGGGCTGGAGGCAAATGACGGAGTCTGCTGAATGCTGAGACCAGGGGATGCGGAGAGGAGTAGGTGCTGTGGCTGCACAGAGAGGTGCAGAATCTGTAGGAGGGGTTCTGTCGTCCTCTCTGCTGCCGACTGCTGAGACAAGGGGCAGACATGAGCCTCTCCGTAGCTGCAAGTGCAGGATCTGGTGGCGGAGTTCTGTCATTTTGTCTGCTGCCATATACTGAGACAAGGTGGAAGCAGAGATGAGGGTGCTGCAGTTGCAGTAGAGGAGCAAGGGCCACATGAAATGGCATGGCGGGCCTTGTATTTGACACATGTTCTAGGACATTTTGGACCCCCACCCTAGAAGAGGGGCATCATCAGGGTGTCCTGCACTCTGTAATGCACAGTGCATAGTCGAGGACCAACCACTGCTAGAAGAGATCAGAAAGACTCGTCATGCCATGTGACGTGAAGGCATCTGGAAAAAGGAGTTTTTAAAAAAAAAATGTACTGCTTCGGGGGGGTAGAGGAGCCAATGGGAGGGCCTGACGCTCCTAGTTGGGCTTTAACTCAAACAGAGCAAGTGTTGTCATCCTCCTTGCTGTGCTGTCTGGCAGAGCTGTATAAATCACAAAAATGCCACAATTCCATGAACTGTACATTTTACCTTTTATTTTCCCAGTTCGTAGTCACTAACCAATAGCT